TATACGTGTGTGTTTCCTCCTATTCACTGCTACTCATCTCTTTCGTCTATAGTTTAGCCTTCAGTTCTCTACCTTCTATTGATAAGATCATCATACTGAACACAACTGAATATTTGGATATTTTTTGAGAAAAAAAACAAAGCATCTTATAGGCAGACAAATACAATTCATATACATTATATATTATTATGCTATATCTGTTGGCCTATCAGAAACACAGTTACTTTACAAGGGATTTATTATTTATTTGCTTACCACATCTCATTCTGACCCAACTAAAAGACCAGCTTTAGACTCAAGTCATTAGTTTCTGGCTTCTCATCCCTGGTACCTGCCCCTTGGTTGCAGTACAATATTTTTATACTTTTTTTTAACATGTTATATTTCTATCTGTTAATTCATGATAATCATTAATGATTTTTAATCAGTAGTTTAAATGTAACATTTATAATTAATAAACTTAATCACTTTGAGGAAAAAAAATATTATATTTCAATTTTTAGTATATTTTTAGGATGGTGTAAATCTGACCAGATTATGCTTTGTAGATAGTCATTACTTTGCCCCCATCATTTCCCTACACCCAAGGGTTGTTTGTAACATTAGCTGACTACCTTAAATAACTGCTATTGTTTAAACTGTTCTCTTTGCTTTGCAAATTGTCTTCATTTCTGCTACTTACCATATTACAGTGAATGCAATAGAAAGCTGTGTGCATCCAAAGTTAATGTATCAGAATATAGCCAGGTGCTCATCGCATAATATTAACCTGTATATTCAAGAAAGAAGGAAATAAAATACCAGGCCCCCCATATACACACACACACACACACACACACACACACACACACACACCTGGTGAGTCTACCTCTTTCTCACCCCTCATGTTCAAAATTGGATAACCTACATGCCTGCTTGCAAGTTATGTTGTAGCTTAACATGACATCCAAAAACCAGTGAAAGATGTTTTCCAGTATTTATTCTGCTTGTTAAGATAGAACAGCCAGGGTAACAATTCAAAGGGCTTTTTGTTTTCCAGCATTTTTTTTATCCTCCTTGATATCCTCTGTTAACAATAATGCTAAAACTTTTAGTTCCTGTCATCATGGAACTTTAAAAAAAAAATTGATGTGTAGATGTTGGGGACAATTTTTCTTTTTTCTGTTAGAAATCTTTTTATTTATTTTATCCATTGTCCAATAGTACTTGTGACACCTGGATTGGTCAAATAAGTATTCAGTGTTTCAGCATGGACATTTCCCATGTCAACTCTGGACAATGAGGGTAACTTTCCTCTGTTCATCTCTCTGAATTGTTCTGATTGACATTGCACTAACATTAAAGAGTTTTCCACTTATCTGACTTATTATTGAGCACACAAGTTGGATCATTTTCCAAATTTGATGAGCTCCAACTACTTTGCTATTTACCAGTAGCTTGGCAGAGAAGTGGATTGATACTTTTACCTTGGGCAGAGTTTGAACATGTTTTGCCATTGACTATTAGGCCATATGTATTCAAACTCAAATTTACGTCATAAATTGTCTTTTACCAACAATTAACCATTGCTTTAATATTTTTCTCTGTCCATTTAATGTGGTCTTTGAGTGCTACTGATAGAAGAATTGTAAGCACATTATTCTCAATAACCAATGCTTGTAAGTTTGTTACATTCATTTAGGTGCAAATACCCTTGGGAAAGGTATGAATCCATCTCTTCTCCTATATCAGCTATGGGTTGAATAACAGGACAGACAAGTTCCTATAGGCTTTGGTGTTAACCAATCTAGGAGAATGTCAACTCTGAATTCAAAACCTTCAACTATAGGTTAAATAGCCTCATCAACCTGCAATTAAACAGGTGTGATCAGTATGGCTACACTCTTGAAATATAATCCATACAGATCCAGGCTCTCTTCACTTCTGGATCCAGGTCCTTCTCCAAGATCTGGATCTGTTCTAATGAGCTTCCATCCTTGCTACCTTTTGTTAGACTTTGATAGGTATTTACCAGAATGTGTTAACAGATTAATTTTGTAAACTATTGCCAGTGATTTCAGTCTTTAATGGAGCACATGACCTTGTGTCAAACTAGGTTTATAGAATTGGAATAGCAATAAATCTATTCAGATTTTCATTCATAAAAGGTGAAAATCTTTCAGAATAAAGTCTTCTATACTTTTGCATATTTTGTGGTAACATGATCAAAATTGTAAATACTTGTATTTTTTTTTTTACCGCTCTTGTTATATCATTCAAATATCATGATGACCCACTAGAAAGTTGGAGTGAACTAATATTAAACATCATTTCTTTGTACAGTTAATTTGCTCCTCACTAGGTTCTCTACTATCTCACTAATCTTAATAAATATTTGTACTAGTATTTAATTTCTTTTATTTTTTTATTGTTTTTGTGAAAAGGTGATTTATTGATATTCATTCTATGCAACAGAAGTAATACCATTGATGCCATCAAGAATTTTAAATGTAACATTCATACCTGTCAAACCATTTTTGCACCTACACCTATATTTTCTTTTTGCTTTTTTTTTTTTTTTTTTTTTTTTTTCTCTAACTAAAGAAAATATTCTTTTTCAATACAGATAAAATAAGGGTTTTAAAAAAGTCAAAGGAGAATAGTTTTTCTCTCAAATCAATATTTCTTTTGATTAGCTCTTAACTATTGGGGGTGGTCTCTATTCTCAATGGTAAATATTCATATAGATACATACTCATTTATTTTCTTGTATTTTGATATGCTATCATTTATACTCTTTGAGGAATTGATAAGAGAAACAGATTCCTTTTGTGAAAGTTGTTTCTTTTTTTTTTTTTTTTTTTTTAACCACTCTGTTTTTATATTTCAGAATAAGGGAGAAGGTTCTCTTCAATCTTTCCTTTCTCGTGTGAAGGGAGCTATCACTTAGCTTCCCCAAGACAAAAGGAAAATAAAACATTCCTTCTAATCTTACCTGATATTAGAGATATGACAATAAAAAAAAAAAAAATGATTTTTACAGAAGATGCTACAATTCTACTTCAGCCTCCAATAATATCTTTTCATTCATTGTTAATTTTTCTTATAGGAATTGTGAATTAAGTTGTAAAGTTATCAACTGTGTAAGCAGTTTTTTTTTGTTATTTTGGTCTTCCTTTCTCCTGTCTACATCAGTTTTATGCACTCATTCACCTTTTTCTTTTTTTTAATCATTGTATGGTTCCTTATAAAATATTATCATAGAATAAAAGATGATCCCCCTTTCTGATTAGATTTCAGCTATTGAGATGATGTCTGTTGAAACTATTTAGTGCTGTTTACCTTTACATTTTTGACAGAAGAATAAATAAATCAACTGCTAGATTTTGTATTATTTTAAAATTCTTTATTTATTAGCTTGTAGCTATTGAAATTGTCTTTTTTTAAAAAACTATTTAAATTTGTTTATCTCTTCAAAAATGAAAACAAAAACATGCTTAGCTATAGACATCAATTCATTGATGTAATGCATTATCTTTGACAGACTTAATCTGTGATATCATGATTAGAATTAATTAAACAAATCTCTCAAAACTTTCTTTAATTATAATGATTGCATCTCCAAATCATTACGTATTTGATAATTTACTATATTTTTAAGTTTCATGTACTGCTTCATCACAAGATAAACATTTTAACCCTCTTCAGACTGAATTTCTTTTTAAATTTTGCCTGTTTTAAGATAACTCAAATTTTAAAATTAATTTGTGAGATATTTACTAAATCCCTCTATACCATATATAAATTCTCATGGAATTATTCTCCAGTTATATGATAAATGTCTTTTCCCTCTTGAATACCTGGTTTTGGTTATTTCCATGGAAACAAAATGCAATATCAATATCGTGTTTTGTAAGCCTTTGTGGAAAGAGTTAATTTAAAAACCTATTTTTCTTAAAATAATTACTTAATGTTTCAGGCTATTTAAAAGGAAAAAAAATGATGATAGGATGTTTTCAAAGTTGCAAGTTTACATGTAATAGCATGTGTGTTGGCTTAATTAACTTTTTGTCTTAAATCAATACAAAAAGCCTATTCTCTTTACTAAGTTTTTCTTAGTCAAAGTCATAAAATCTGAGTTTCTTAAGAGATCCCTCATCAAACTATTGATAAGGTTTTATGCTACTTACCTTTTACAATCAAGTTAATTTGTTTTTATTAAATGTTTATTTCCAACTCGAGTACTTGTGCCGTCAAAAATGATAGCAATTGTTAGAAAGTTTTAATAGTGAGATGCAATTAAACAATGTATTGAGATTCAATAAAGCAGAGATAAAGAATTCACAAGTAAAATAGAAACCATTTAATTTGTCTGTTCCTTTTTATATTTTTTTAGACATTCAATGGTATCTATGATTCATTAATTACTCCTGGCATTATATAAATCATTTTTTGCTCAATATCTTTTCATTTTAAAAATTTTTGTGTTTAATATCACAGTGAAATAGAAATATTTCTTGGAAGAAAAAGATTAGCAACAGAACAACAAAGTCAGCGATAACAAAACCTATTTCAAGACAGCAAGACAATCACTTAATAGACAAAGGTGTCTGAATGCCTCACATGGAAAACTTGAACAAATAGGACTGCAATATAAGGGATGTAGAATGAAATGAGCTGATAAATGGTTCATTTTGCTCAGGAACTAATTTTGTTTAAATGCAGATAAATATTTTATTTATATAGATTATTAAAATCAACTAAAAATAGTAAAATTTACTAACTTGAGTTGATTTACCTCCCTCACCACTACAGATAGGACAAGAAATACATAGATATGTATTTATGATTAACCTGTTTTTATTCTGAAATTTATAATTGTTTTTGTAATATTTTTCCATCTTTTTTATTTTTATTTATTTATTTATTTCCAGAGTCAGGAGAAGGACGACTCTGAAGGGAAAGCTGCCACCGTGGATAAGGAAGCGAGTATAATCCAAGACAATCCGGAGATCTCGGCTATGTTAAAGGAAAATGCAAGTGCGGTGGCAGCTGGTGGAGGAACTATAAGCCATGATGTTAATGGCGCCAACAATATAAAATGTGAGGCAGTTGATATTAAAGAGGAAATGAAAGATGTTTTACCTAAAGGAAAAGATAGTAATGGAGGCCCAACTGCTAACACTAAAGCTTCACCAAGTACTCTCACTAATGGCAGCAACACGGGTAAGTAAGTTTTAAAAATGGATAGAATGGGAGTAGGGGGCATATCCAGTTCCAAAAGTTGTATGATTAATGTTTTCTGTTTACTTAAATTGTTCTCTAGGCAGTTTCTAATGCAACGCATTTTTTTTTTAATCTGAAGTCTCCTTTGTCTTTCATGCTTTCCTTGGAGCCTGTGCTCTATGGCTTGTGTACTGTTCTCAATTTCTTCCTGTTAACAACACTGAAAACTGCCATATAGTTGACACATTTTATTCTGAGAAAGGTAAAACTGAAAAATAAAAGACCGTACAATAAAGGGAAAAAAATTAAAAATCAGTAAATCAATTTAAAAAAATTGTGGAATGGAAAAGAAAAAAGGTACAAGCATTGCTTGGAAAGTGAAGAACCACATACTTCTAGGTATTAAAATACATCCACTAGATGTCCAGGTAACAAAAAATGTCCTTTGCTGCATAACTTCGAGATCACCATGAAGTCTAATTATTGGTCCTTTGCAAGATAAATAAAAATTCTAAAACCAGGTGTTTTTTTTTTGTTTTTTTTAATCCTCACACCTTATTTCAACCTCTAAACTCTACAGTTCAAGTTTTTGGTGCTGTACCTTCTATTTATCAGCTTGATGCAATTTACTTAAACTTTTCCCTTCATGAATGACACTAAAGGCTGCTTTGTAGTTGACAGGTTTATTGCAAGAGGAAGTAGTAAAACTGATAAAGATGAAGCATGAAAGACAATGCAACAAATACACTATAGAAAAGAAAACAATAAAAAAAAAAATAAACCAATGGATAAAAGAATGTGGAATAGACAAAAAGACATACAAACAATACTTGTAAAGTGAAGAGCCATAAAGGATTTTTGATTTTTGAATGTACCCAGTAGATCTGTGTACTGCTTTAAAAAAAAAAAAAAATATAATAATAATAATAATAATGAAAAAGTCCGTAACAAAAATGTCTTTCGCTGAGTAATTTCCTGAGCACATAAAATTTCTTGAAAGTTTAATTGTTGCAATGAAGGAAGATAAAGATTAGTTACTGCACTATTTAAAAGATACAGCTGCTGATTAGCATTGGAGATAGTGAAGATTGCTGCACAGAATCAGCAGAACATTGTAAATAAAAGAAACTCTTTTTACTTTCTATGACCTTTGACTTTCATGCTTTACAGCCCATCAGAACATTTTGAATATCTCTTCTCCAGACAATTTCTAAAGTATTTTTCCTCTTGACCTGAAGTCTTTCTCTTTCTCCCACTTTTCCAGCACTTAAACTTTTTAGATATGGCAAAACAATTTTGTCTGAGCCAAAAACATTATATAAATAAAAGTTCTATATTTTCTCAAGTATTGGTCTTCCAACAGCTTCTTTTAAAGATACTTACTTTCAAAAAGTAATGACAGATGACCTTGTTCTCATCCAACTAAACACAATTTGCAAGGTGAAAACAACAAATTGTTATTGCCTTGTTTAAAACGCTGCATACAAATATGCACTGTGCTTATATAATGACTTTAAAAATGGTTTTGACTAATTATTTACTTGAAAACAAATTTTTTGCATTCAACACAGAAATATAGAGTACTTTGATTTTACTTATTATAAATGTGTTGTCTGTTGATGATTTACCAAATTTCAAATAAGCCATCCTATTTAGTCTGACAACTATAGCAGAATGTTTACAGTCAAAATGAAAAAATTATCAAAATAATGATGTTCTAATAATAATAATAATCATCATCATCATAGTGACATTCATGATTTCCTCACATTGATAATGAATTCTCTTTGGGGATTGTTGTAAAATATCTTAAGTGTAAAAAAAAAAAAAATAAATAATTTCTTTATTTGTAAATTTAGATATAGAAAATTGAATATAACCTGAAATTTACAGGAAATTCCACACATCTATCAGAATCATTCCACCATGAAATATTTTTCTATCACTTTTTGTCTTTGAGAAAGTCATTTTTGCTTAGTTCTCCAAACTTTTCAATAAATTAATGAGCATTTGCTTATTTTTATATATATATATATATATATACACACACACACACACAGTGTGTGCATCAGAAATACCTCTACATAAGGATACAGCATTCTTATTAATGTATTACCATTATGTGGGAGGTATTTCTGCCACACCCTGTATAGTCATTTATAAAATTTATATTGAGTGGATATTTCAAGATTACAAGGAAAGATGATTTTATATAAATATAGTGCATGTACAGAGACAACAAAATTTAACCAAAGGCTCTTATATATATATATATATATATATATATATATATATATATATATATATATATATATATATATGTCTGTGCTTTAAAGTTTCCTAGTTCTGGGTTGAATGCTATATCTTACATTTTAGTAGAATACTGACCAATTCCTTCATAATTAAAAACAAAAATTAGAAACTTTTTGCTCAGATTACAAAAATCTCTTAACCTGAAAAATCATATTGCTCAATCATCTGAACTCATTATTTTTTTAACCAATTTAAAACCATCTAAATTTTCATTGTAGGTCAATCCAGAAAATATCACTTAACTTGAGAGTATCTTCTCAGTTTAAACAGGTTTTTTTTTTTTTTTTAATAAAAATAAAAAGACTACTATTAATATAATAGTCATTTCTCTGTAATTATATCTCATCAAAAGATAAGAATTTCCAAATTCTTCTAAATTCTCTACTTTTTGCTGAATATTCTAAGAACACAGAAAGGCTAAAGTTGACAAACATCTCTCAAATGATGGTCTGGCCAACATCTCTGTATGATTGGCCATAAAATCAATTTTCCAATCAACTCCAGACAACTATGCTGCAATATTACTGACCATTGAGTCAGCCATTTTGGTCTGTGTATGTTACAAAGAATAACAGGCAATGCCTTTAACACCTCACTCTCTGCCTGTTTCTTAACCGGGTGCTTGTAGTCATGGTGGGGAAATAGATTATTTACTTCCTCAGAGAATCTGCTTATTGAAAATATAACTGATTTTTTTTCTCTTTCTTTAAGATAGCAAAAAACAATATTGTTTGTAAATGATAGAGTGCCAGTATTATCAAACTTTGGTTAATGCAGTAATAATAGCAGATCCTGCTGATTCACATGATTGGATATCTCTCAAGCCATTGTTTGCATGTTGAGTACACCACTATTCTGTTTTTGCAAGAGACTTCAGCAATGCATGAAGTATTTATATATATATATATATATAATGTGTGTGTGTTACGTAGTATATTTAGGCATCAATTTTTTGCTTAAAGAAAATGGACATGGAATGGCAGTTCAGCCTTTTGGTGAGTTTCTGCCAAATGTTAATCATTTTCAAAGAAAGGAAGTAGGAAGACAAGATATAGCTCGTGGGGTGTTTATGCTATTAATGGTCCAGAGTTTAAAATTAATGTGTATTTACATCCTGTGATGAAGTAGAAAAATGACCAATGATGTTCAAAATTACTCTGAACTCTACCCACTGTTTTTATCAACATCCTTTACTAGTTTCCACCCAATATCAAACAAGTTAATTACTCATTTGACACTAAGACAAACATATACACATATCTGTGTAATCGGGCTGTTCAGGAATTAATGCAGGTTTTTAAACATTAACATTAAAATAACATATCTCAGTTCAGAATAAACTTTAATAATCTAAATAAAAAGCATTAGAATCAACACATTTTTACCAACAAGATACAAGTTTTTTTATTCTGGTAATATAGAAGTAGTTGGTTGATGAAAAGTCAGGTGAGTATGCTGGATGTGGCAGTTTTGTAGCCCAATTCATTCAACTTCTAGAGCATTAGTTGAACATTGTGTAGTTAAGCATTGTTGTACAAAGGATTGGACCTTTTCTGCTGACCAATGGTGAATACATATGCTGCAATTTCCAATGCATTTCATTGATTTCATGATAGTACTTCTCTACTGTGTTTTGCCTGAATTGATCAAAACTGTACTGGATTAATTGAGCTGCAGACCCCAAACAGTCACCATAAACTTGTTTTGATGCAACTTCAGCTTTGCGAAGTGTTTCAGAGATTCATCTTCATCCAACCACTATGCTGTGGTTGTTGATACATTGTGTATTTATTAACACTTCTGTGGCCCCAAACTTTATTGATGTTTGTGCGACATTAAAGACAAGTTTCATAATAAATTTAGTGAAAATACTGTTTTGATATATTAATTTCAAAGATCTGAAAATTGAAAAAAATCTCACATTAAAAATCAATCAATTTGGAAGAGCTTTAAAATGTTTTTTTCACACAGATTGTGTGAGTTTTTATTCTTAAAGAAATGTTGCAACAAACAAAATCATAAAACCTGCAATAATTTCTGAATAACCTTTTATTTATTTATTTATTTATTTATATATATATATATATATATATATATATATATATATATATATATTTTTCTTGGGAGGGGCATTTATGTTCATTACTTGAGAGAGGGCTGAGCACCCATGTCTTGTATATTTACAAACCATCCTTAGTCAAGGCTGTTACACCTGTTAGCACCCCTCCTAATATGCATGACAGAATTTAAAAATACTCTGTTTTCTGTTCAAAAATACACTTAAGGGCTCTAAAAACTAAGACCTTTTTTTTTTTTTTTTTACTTCTTTTATTCTTTTTTAATAACTTTACAGTTGCTGCAGTAATAATTGTAAACAATAAGTAAAAAAAGTACATGCATTCCTACAGTGGCCCCTTTATCTGTGATATTGTTTTTCTACATTCAACTCTAGATATAAAAAATTCATAAGTTTTAGTTCCCAAATCACAAGAGTAATAATGCTGGCAACTCTGATAGACCCAGAGAAGTCATAAAATGTTTCCTTTAATTGAAAAGGTGAAAGTTCTCAATTTAAAGAAAGAAAGAAGAAATAATAGGTTGATGCTGGTACTGAAAGATCAAATGTTTATCTTTCAAATAACTTTTATTACCATATGTCATTATAATTGTTCTATTTTATTAGTAGT